ATACTACAAAGAACAAGTAAATGTAAATAATATGCAATAGTTAAGTTCTGGTCAGCTGCCCTGACCACAATTTCAAGCCACCAAGTCTTATCCCTATTTGAAGTTATTGGTTTCGTATCCAGGACTATGCTACGACGAATGGTAGTCGTGATGACGGCGATTTTCTCCGGTTTATGTTTCCTCGAGCCAACTCTGAACGCTGTCGCTTTGATGCTTTTCAGTGTTCCAGCCGCAATTGTCATACACTACGAAGGCACCCAGTAAGTTGATAGCTTTAGAAACGCGTAAATATTTTGCTTATTGTATACAGACGGTTCGCCGGCTGACGCCGGCGTGTCTCCCTCTGTGATACGGCCCGGCTTCGCCCTGCGGGCGAGGCTTACCTTCTTTTACATGTTTGGATACTCGACAGTTATCCGGCTTCTCCTTCACACATTGTCAACACTCCTTGACCAATAACATCATACCTGCTACTTTCAACACCATTACCTAGTAGTACAGGCCTCAAGCTAGAGAATGTCCCGCTATCGCGACTCCACAGCGAGCGAGTAGCGTGCACAGCCGCTGAAAGTTCTAGTTCTAACGCCCGCTCAGTTGGACCGCCCACTTGCTAGATGCCCTCTGACGGAGGGCCGCTCAGTTGTTCTTTGTTGGGCGGCGGGCATTAATCGGAATTGCATGTCCTTTTTGCTGACCGCGCTCGTGCCCATAAATAATTCTGCTCTCCTTTATTACATTTTATTCATTGGGAGCACATACAGTCAACTGCTACGCATCTCGCGCAACGTCGCCCCCCTTCTACCAATTTTCAGATTTTTCCCCAACTTCCTGCCACACTTCCTCGAAATTTCCCGAAAAGTTCCCTAATTTTCTTCAAAAACTTTTGCTGTCGAGCGGGGGGTACATAGTACGCATGAAACAACAAACAACAACCATCAAAAAAAATTTTTCCCAGCCCAAATACGACCCCCCGTTGGGGATTCCCCAACAACGATGTGCCCTGATTGCGTGGAAAACTAGAATTTACCGCGCTATTTCTTCACAGGCAGCGACCGGAAAGTTTGCGCGCTAGGCGCTGGGAATAAATGCCAGTAGCTTCTAGTAGAGAGGGGTATTCAGAATAAACAATAAGCAAAATATTTACGCGTTTTTAAAGCTATTAACTTACTGGGTGCCTTCGTAGTGTATGACAATTGCGGCTGGAACACTGAAAAGCATCAAAGCGACAGCGTTCAGAGTTGGCTCGAGGAAACATAAACCGGAGAAAATCGCCGTCATCACGACTACCATTCGTCGTAGCATAGTCCTTAATACAAACCAATAATATCAAGTACTATAAGACTGCTGGGTTGGACTTATGGCCAGGGCAGCTG